TGACCCTGCAGATTTTGCATCCGCTAAAATATATTGCTGAGGATTCAGCGGGTGGTCGCGTGGGGCTGCCTGGGGTCGCCTGTCGTCGAGATGGGAGATGGTGTGCAACATCAACGGCATGGCGTTGATCTTTACGCGGCCTTGCAGACGAGCTGTGTGGTGACGACATGGGTTATGTTCTGCGGAGATGGGCTACTACGGGCGGAGGTGGACGCTATTGTCGTGTTGAACTCGATTGTGGACAGATGTCCGTCAGCACAGACATCTGTCCACAATCGATTTCAACACGACAATAGCGTCCTCCTCCGCCCGTAATAACCTATCACCCGACGCCCACAATGTGTTGCGCTCCTCTGCAAGCTTTCATGTCGATGTACCGAAGTATACGATATTTGGCTTGTACAAAGCTTCCTTTCCACTTGGATAAAGTTGACTGGCCAATCCACTGTATGATATTTGGGATTGGACCATACGAACCTTCAAGTATCGTACAATCCCAAACATCATACGGTGACTTGGCGGGGTTCTACTGGCAGGTTTTGGTTTGGACATGGCCTTGGGTTGGATCGAAGGTTAAGCATCTTGTGGAGCTGTGCGATGGAATCTCGTTACTTGGTCTTGCGAAGGTGGGATGGAAGCCGCTGTTCCGAGCGGATTTTGAGAGTGTGGGGAAGGTACACTTCCCTTTTACGGGTGGACTACAAGGGATCTGTTGGATACCAAAAGATCTAATAAATTTTGAAAATACACGAGCTAGACAATTCGTGTATTTTTGAAATTCTTTAGATCCTTTGGTATCCAGCAGATCCCTTGTAGTCCACCTCTAAAAGAAAGGTACTAGTGTCTGCGTACGTTACTGTTGTTTATATACCTCTCATATGCCCCTGCCGTTCTTTGAGATTGTTGCTTCCCCATTCCATCTCTCCGCAATCATGCCTTCTTAATCATCTGCGCCTGCAAATTCTGCCCAAGAAAGCAAAACGTTATAGATAGGCGCTCGGGCAATCGTATATACTTACCACAAGAACCTGCTATCCGCTAACACTTTGTTCCTTCCTTCTATCAGCCATTCACAAACGTCACTTCGATCAGCAACAATCAACAACCGACGAGAACGCTTCTTCGTCTTCAACGCCTCCCACCTTTATGTACTCGTCCGGTGCCTGTTGTCAATATAAACAGTCCTTTTCGTCGTCTCTAGTCCGTTTCAAACAGCATCCTCCCCTTCTCTTCGACCTACCCAGGTACCAACGTAACTACGCTTGGCTTCCTGTTTGCTAACATTATCGTTGTAATAGTCTACTCCCCAACGCCTGTATCCAGGCCTATCGCCTCACCGGAAACATATTCTAGTCGGCGACCTACTCATCCGCTCTTTGGAGCAAGCCAATAGCTGCTGAATTTTGCACGCACTCCAACTTTGCTTGGACTTCGCATCGCAGGCTTCAAGCTATTACAAGACCTCCTTCACCGCCTTCCTCAACATCTCTACAGCTTCCACCAAAGCCAAGCCTCCACTCACATACGCGCAGCCAACAAAGACTACATGTGCCAAAAAGCGCAGCAGCGACTACATGTCTGGAGAGAACAAGAGAACGCAGACCTGCCTGTACCAAAGAAGCGCACAAGGGCACCTACTTAGAAATCGGCGCCTGCACTTACCTTGGCGTCCACCTCATCATTTATCTCAACGTATACCTCAGGATAGTCCTTTGCCAAACCAGGCAGCGATGATAAATAGGCCTAGTCAAGGTCGGTGTCTTGCCAAGAAGATCATCTGGGCTTCATACGACAGTAGACCTAGATCGTGGTTCTGCGTCTAGGAGTACCAAAACGGTATATCAGAATTCGCGGTCGGTTCCTATATTACACCGGCACTACAGTCCTCCATCCACAGGATACAGGGAACGCCATCTACATCGACACTAGTGAGAGCCCTCGTTAAGAAGGGCTTACACAGCACATCCGGTATAGACAGACGGGCGCAGGTAAGTGGAAGGATGCAGGTTGCGTAAACCCAGCTCTCAAAGGCTGGCCTTGTGTCCTCTCTGTTGGCTTATCGTTCGCTTGAACCCCGTACAGGTACGTCGAACTTACATACCTAGGTACACTTTCATCTTCCCACCACTTCCCTTCATCCTTTCCATACTACTTTTTTACCACCTTTGCTAATCATTTGGTAGGGGTTAAACTGTACTTCATGAGATAAAAGCCCCTTGCCCAGCCCGATCCACTGCATCCCACTATACAGCCCGAGCGTGCCGACTCGGAGAACGATGAGGTATCTGACATCATCAGGGACAGCGATAGCCAGACCCAAAGGCCCCGCGAGTACGGCTACTGCTGTTATCATAAGATCCATGCGTTGGTCGTCGAGCAGTGGACGGGAAACAAGCCAGCACGCCTCTGCCAATCATTCCCGGATCGCGTGCCCGTTGCAGGGCCATGGCTACACCATGAAATGTACTTCGCACAGGAGTATACACCTAGCCTGTGTAGCCAATTATCTGTTGTCTTAATAATAGAAGTCTGGAGGCCGTATAGATCAAGAGGGATCGGTAGTTTGCATCTCGCAGGGAGGTGCTTTTCGTCGGCATCATTCGTGCTTCGTTCTCGCACCTTGCAACGTACTAAACTGCGTCTCTATTCTCTTCGGATCGATCGAATATGTGTGGATTTAGTTTACATCAGTACTAGCTTAGCACGTTTCGTTCTGCTTTTCTGGTTCATGGCTTTTGTATCGGCTATCTTTCTTGTTGTACCCATATCTATTCAAAAGCCTTCTTCTACGCCCAGGTGCTCTTTTCTTTGACTTCGATAGTAGGGAGAAGACGTCCACGACTTCGAGTATAGTCATCATGGATAAATCCACCTCTGCCTCTACAATTCACTGTCCTTTTCGTCCTTTGATTGTGAAACTTCCTTTGCTACCTCTTGGTCTGACTAGGTCGCTGTGATGGTTTGGTGATGATACAAGGACGTCTTTTACTCGCGTAGAATGAGATACCAGGACTGCCAACTTCACTGTCATGATATGATCAATATGAAACTGGAAGTTACTGGAAATCCACAGCTTTATACGCCGTCTTACCATCAGGTGCGGCAAATATTCGTGAGACTTTTGGCACGTGAGTTCTGCTTCTGTGCAACTGATCCTGGTGATGCCAAGTCAACATCAAAGCTATCGCAATCATATCGTGTACTACAGTGCAATCTTAATGACTGGCCCGAGTTACTTAGGTCAGACTAGGCTCTAGTCTAGTTAAAGGCGCACTCTATTGCTAGTGATGCCAAGAGCATCACGAATTGTCACTGCACCTGATGGTACGCCTCTGAAGAGGCTTGCTGTACGAGCAATTAACAGAAAGCTTACCAAGAGCGGGTTATTTTTGCGCAGATGTGAAGATCACGTGAACGCACCGGTGTGTTAGCACCGGGCGATCTACATGCCGAATTGATGACGGCGAAGAGGCGGGGAAATCGGTCCGCCTAGGGCAACGGCCAACCTCAGCAACGAAAGCGAACGCGAAAGTTTGGATACACATTTGCATGGGAGGGTGGTAGAGCTCTTCTACGCTCTGATTGGACGCCAGAATACGCGCGATACGGTGGGCTAGAGTTTGTCGAGACGAGAACTGTCCTACAATCGCCAAGTGCCACAGTGCTGTTGAAGATATGCCAGTGAGCATTTCCTTGTGGTATGTACTACGTGGTGAGTGTGGCTGGCCATGTGCTTGGGGTTTGGGCTTGCTGCGCGACATCTCGGTCTGTCTTAACGGCGCTTACTTCTTCGTTGCCTGGTTGGACGCGTGGACATGTCCATGTACTAGGGTAAGCGACGAGGCGTCTTTCGCATCGGTTATGTGGTTTGTCCATGGGTCCTCCATGATAAGGTGCTTACGATGCGTTTGTTGGAGGACCAAGAGGGAGGAAGGTGGTGCAGCGATATGTCAGAACATCGTGATCCGGTGTGGGCAGCCATACCTCCTTGCTTGTGGAGTCCTTGCTGCAGGTTCTGACTGTCGCAAAGTTGGGTAGCTGCGCCGCCAGTCGTGTGTCGTATCCATCGACTTCATATTGGATGAATCAGCAAGGATCATAATGATGGAGAATGGCCAGCGAAGGATTCAAATTCGGGTACATTCCCGTGCTGGTGCAGCAGCCTCGCGTAGAGTAGAGATCTCGGTTAAATGAACGGAAGACGGAAGAGGCGTCAGCCGCAGCAAGGGTCCAGCAGCTCCTTCTTGCACCTGCCTCTCTTTAACGACCTGGTTACACAAACATATCCATCGTGCACCGCGTGCACCGACACGAAGGACGATTGTCTGTCATCGTCGGAATGGCGCGTGCGGTCCGTTGCCAGGGTTCTGCTGATGCCCCTCACCGACCGTGCTCACCAACGCCCGCGCAGGGTAATGATCCTTCCGAGCCGCACATACGCGTCAGTCTAGGCTGCTTGGTGAAGCACTTCGGGCGTACTCCCCGTACTGTAAGGCCATCGATTGGATCGTCTCTCACCGTCAAAGATAAAGATTGGTGACGCTGAGGCATATTCAGCAACCTCGACAAAGAACATATGAGGTACTCGCTAAGAATGTCCGGTTTGTTCCCTTGGCCCAGTGATCTGACGTCGAGTACGAATGGAGTGCTGAGGGCTGAACTCAATGTGTGACCCCGAGACACAAACGGTCAGGCTTGGCCTGGGGATCGTCGAGCGCTTTGCCCGTCAGACCCTAGCGGTCAGTAGACGGCTCCATCGCTAACAGCGCGACCGCCGGAACCAAGGATCCGCTCTGTGTATACACCGTATCAACCGTATAGAGCGAAGCGCACCAATGATCCTGGCTTTTCTAGACCAGGGGAAACATTCTCGGTATATGTAGAAGGACGACCACGTCGCGACTCCATCCGCCACTCACCGTCCACCTTTTCGACACCAACACGCAGCACCCGCAGGTGACATATCGAACCTAAGGGCATCCCCACTGCTTACCTCGAAGATGGCCGCCAAATTCGAAAACATCAACACCTCCGCGGTGCCTCCTACACAGGAATCTACGATGATGGACAGCCAAACTATGGCGCAGTTGATGCACACGCTGCAGACTGTGGCTATCGCAACCCTCTTTTTCGCAGTCTGCGCATACGCTCCCAAACTTAAACGAAAGGCCCAGCTGGGAAGCCTGCCGGTTCTCGGCGGAGAGACCGGAGAGAAACACCGACAGGCATATCTCACCAATGCTAAGAAGATGTATGAAGATGGTTACGCCAAAGTAAGCTAATCGTGGTCTTTTGAAATGCTCTTACTCACAGCGCTGCTAGTTCAAAGACTCGGTGTACAGAATTGTAGGAGAGCAGGGCATGTTTGCATATTCCAAGAAAAAAGAAAGCGCATCGCTCATACCTCTCTAGGCGAAGACAATATCGTCATACCCTCAAGTCTGCTCCCAGAGCTGCGAAAACTCCCAGATGATGTTCTCAGCTTCCCTGCCGCCGTCAAGCAGGTATGTAGACGTGAGCAATTAAGGTCGAAACAAAGCTAACCGCCTATAGCTCATGGAAGTCAAATACACCAAACTGCAGGTTGAGGGAGCGACCGGTCTTCATTCGGTCAAGCATGACCTCACACCAGCACTACGTAGGTCGAAACGAACAACGCTGCTCACGAGCTGGTGAAGCTGATATTATGGCAGCTCGATTAAACCCAACAATCGCCACGGAAGTCGACATCGCTCTACGAGAGTCTATGCCCCCATGCGAAGAATGGACGGACGTTTACATTTTCAAAGAGCTCGTCGATGTCATTGCAAAAGTCTCCGGTCGCATTTTCGTCGGACCAGAACTATGTCGCAACCCAGAATACATCAAGCTCGGAACGAACTACACAATGGATCTCGTGGCAGGAGTCACAGCTTGCAAGAAGGTCCGCCCATGGCTGAAGCCGTTCCTGTGTCCCCGCCTCCCAGAGATCGTCAAGCTTCGCAAGATCGAACAACAACTGAGCGACTTTCTGCACCCAATCGTAGAGGAGAGGATGACCGCCAAGGCGAAAGATCCGAATTGGCAAGAGCCAGACGACATGCTGCAGTGGATGATCACGAGGGGTAAAGGTAAAGACACGATCGACGAAATTACCAGGTTCCAACTCGGTCTCATCTTCGCCGCCATCCACACCACAAGTATGACTGTCACCAGCATCATGCACACACTCGCCGTCACGCCAGAGTACATCGATCCTCTCCGTGAGGAGATCCGCAATGTCATGGCCAACAACGATGGAGTCATTACTTCCCGCGCTCTGCAACAGATGGAGAAAGTCGATAGCTACATGAAGGAAGTCATCCGATTCTACCCAACAGGCTACAGTAAGTTAAATCCTGTCGATATGCATCACTCTTGGAGAATATCACAACTAACCCTACCCCCTCCAGCGGCCTTCAACCGCCGCGTCCTCAAAGGCATCACCCTCAGCAACGGCCAATACATCCCACCCGGCGTCACCATCGAAGTCCCCTCGGCAGCCGTCTACCTCGACGAAAAGAACTACCCCTCCGCCGACGAATTCGACGGTTTCCGCGCCTACAAGGCACGCCAGAGCGGCAAAGCAGCGGACATTGCACGCAACCAGTTCGTCACCACCAACGAGACTAACCTCAACTTCGGCTACGGAGCCCACGCTTGCCCGGGCCGCTTCTTCGCTGCCAATGAGATCAAGATGATTTTGGTTAGGCTGATCCTCGAGTATGATGTTAAGATGCCGAATGATGAGAGGGTGAGGTATCCGATGGTTGATGTGAGCACGCAGAGTATGCCTGATCCGACGAAGGCGTTGAAGTTTAGGAAGGTGCAGATTTGAGTGCGTGGGATGGTGTTGGTTTGGATCATATGCACATGACAGGGAAGAGCATGGAAGCAGGTCTAGAGACGGTTTTTCTACTCGGCTTGTGTAGCGACTGTTGCGATGGGTCGTTGTTTCTGCTGCATACCTTTCTCTCTTTTGCGACTTCCTCTTTTCTGATAGCTCGATATCATTCCTCTGGCCAAGAAGCGCCATGATTTCATTCCACAACATGTGTGTCCGCTTCCTCACATCCACCCGATTACGCAGTATCTCCACGTACTTTGATGTCACCCGAAGCTACCACATCACGCCTTCCGTCCCCGATACAGTCATCGATGGCATTCTGAACCTCCCGGGTGACCTGGCCTAGGACAAAAGATACATGTCAGCGTCTTCAATTCCAGATACCCAAACAATACCCAAACTAGTTTTTGGAAACGAGAAGAAATAAAAACATACCATCCCCACTGTTATTCTCACTCACGGTACCCCAGCCCATACACCCAATCACTCCGATGATAAGTCCGATGACATTTATCCCAACGACTGCTAGACTGGTGACGAGGATGAGTAGAAGCATGCCGGGGATGTTGGTAGTAGAAGAAGCGTTTTCGTTGACGTTGGTTGGGATGTCAACGGGTATTAGCGCGGTGGAGAGGTGGTCTGATGGCATGGTCGGCCGTTTGGTAGATTAGTGGATGATGATGGCGATGGATTCGTAGGTCGGTAGGATTGCTCGACTCGTAGGTCGAGAAACGAAAGAGCGGAGAATTGCGATAAATAAAGTAAGATGATAGCGATGTAAACGATCGATCTTCTTGCGTTACCCTCAGAACGAGCGTGATAAGCGGAGTGCCGATTTGCTGATATCTTTGGCAAACGAGCGTAATCTCACAAGAGCGACGGATACCGCGTTTCGCACACGCGAAGAGATGTGTTTTGTAGAACAGGCTGGTCATCGGTGTAGAGTGAGCGTGTCTGGGTTTCGTCTCAAGCTATGGTGGAGGCACTGGAACTGTCTTAGTCTTTGTCTGAGTTAGGATGCAACTTCAACGCCCTGGATTGGTTTGATGGAAATGATAGAAGAGGTATTATGTGTTGGTGTTCAAGGGTATTCTACGCTGGGGATGGAATATAACAGCTGATCATCTCCCAGCGCACTGTGGATGGGATTAGTATTTTACGAGGCCTAGGTTTGTTAGATTCTCTGCTAGAGACGGAGGCCGTGCGTAGAGCGGTGCGCACAGTTCTTGCTGATGGGATATGGGCAACGCGTCTACCAAGACAAGACAACAAAAGATCTCAAGTCACGAAGCCATGCAAATGGGAAAAGGATGCCTAAATCAAAATGTACATTGTGGGTATATTGTAATTATCATATCTTCCGACCAAATATTCCGGCGTTCATCATACGCTCATAACACGAGCATTCATCGTAATGAACCTCTACAGTTTCAGGTGCACGTGGCAACCTGAGACCCTCATATCGAGACTCTTCATCTCCTACTCCTCGCGTCCGCGCCTCCTGTTGTTATCAATAAAGACCTTCTTGAACCTAAAGTGGCACAAGTCCTTCGTAACCTGCCACGAGCTCTTCGCATTCTCAGCAACAAGCTGGCGTGTAGGCTTCTGGAACAACTGGTCAATCTCCTCAAGCGTGAGATCCTTGGTCTCAGGCATGAAGAAAATCTGGTAGAACCAGCCCAGCACGGCGATGCCGCCGTAGAAACCCAGCGCAAGACCAGTCTTGGTGAAGGTGTTTTGCATGCCGGTGAAGTTGTAGGTGACGATGAAGGAGGACAGGAAGAGCCATCCGGTGGAGGTGGTCATACCGTAGGAACGGAGGTAGGTGGGGTAGACCTCGGAGGGAATGACCCAGGTCAATGCGGCGTAGGAACCGAAGAACAGCTCGTAGAGAATGAGACCGGTGAAGTAGGTGCCGAGAGTAGCGCTCAGAGAATCCATGTGGTATGAGATACCGACAAGGACGAGACCGACCAGGAAACCAGGCAACATGGCAATGGCCCAGAAGCGACGACCGCAGGTCTCCATGAGGAAAATGGCGGGGATGGTACCGAGGAGGAGGGAACCGCCTCCGACAAGAGACATGTAGTTGGCGGTTACGGTGTCGAAGCCGACTTGGTGCATCAGGACGGACATGTAGTACATGATGGCATTGATACCGGTGAACTGGCCGAGGAAGATCATGATGTTGGCGTAGATGATGGCGCGGCGAGCACGCGGCTTTGTGAAGAAGTCCATCCATGGGAAGCGGTTGGTGCGTCCGGCAGCGACCTCAGCCTCTTCCATCTCAGTGCTGACCTTCATGACGAAGAACTCCTCGCGTGCCTCATGAGTAGCAGTGCCGCGAATGCGCTTCCAGACCTTGAAGGCCTCCAGAGGCTTGCCCTTGTGCATAAGGTAACGGGGAGATTCGGGCATGAAGAGGATACCGACACCCATGATGGTGGAGAAGACGAGGGAGCTTCCGAGGATGTAACGCCAGTTACCGGGCACAGTGATGAACATAGCGGCGACGGCGTAGCCAAGAACTTCTCCGAGGGCGATGTTGAACTGGTAGAGGGAGACGAGGTTACCACGAAGTCTGCTCTCGACAGTCTCAGCGACGTAGACGGGTACGGTACCACCTTCGAGACCGACACCAGCGCCGAGGATGACACGGGCAGCGACGATCATGCCGTAGTTCATGGATCCGGCTTCGAGCGCACCGCCGATGGTGTAGAGAATACACGAGATGATGATGGCCCAGCGGCGACCAAAGTATTCGTTGCATGGCGAGATGAGGAAGGCACCAGCGACGGCTCCGAGTGGCATACCAGAATTGACGAGCGAGTTTTGCTGGGCAGTAAGATGAAGGTCGTCGGGCAGTGTGAGGTTAGCACCAGAGATGAGCGACTGATCCAGGCCAGATAGCAGACCACCCATGGATGCGAACGCGACAATCATCCATGTGAAATGCTTGGGGTTCTTGAACTCGATGTCGAAGAAGCCCTTCTTGTAGTTGGCCTGCTCCAACTCCTTCTCAAGATCCTGGATCAGGTTCTCGGATTCCCATCCTCTCGCATCCTCGAGTTGTTCTGTCTTTGCCTTGGGTGCGGAGTAGTCCGGTGTAGGTGCGACCTGGATGTGGTCGGCTTTTTCGGTTTGCAGAGTGTGCTGCGGCGACGAGGTCTCCTCAACCATCTTGGTGTCCTTCTCGTCCATGATGGGCAATGATCAACAAGAGATCAACAGTGAGGAAGGGAGGAAGAAAAAGGGAGAAAGGCTGCAGCAAAAGGCTGGTATCTCACAACCCCCTCCCAAGCGGATGCATCTCCGCCCTTTATAAACCCCAGTGGAGACGACCCATGCCCATGGAGAAGCCTCCCCATGGCGCTCTCCATCCCACCACCAACGTGACGTGACGTACGCGTGGAGTCTCCATGGCACGAACGCGGCAAAAAATTTGCCTTGCGCGGATCGCAATGCCGGGGTAGTAAGCACCAGCGCAAAGCCGGTTGTTGCAGACTTATCATGGGCTGCCCAGGAAGAGTATAGACGGGTGGAGATAAACAAGCAAAGGACCGACCGCCTTGGTGGAGCTTGGCTGCAAAGAAGCTTCTAGCGCCCCACATGCGGCTCTGCGGTTGGGTCCAATATTCCTGCCGAGATACTCTCCGGACAGGTGTGGAAGGTCGCGCGTGTAGTCGTCTCGAGGAACTTTGGCATACCACAGCAAGACGTCTTTGTCGCTGGTATTTGAGGGTGCCAAGTTTGACATGAAGATAAGCATCGCGGAACATGCGGCAGTGGCGCATGGCGTAACGTTCGCGACCAGTTCTCGCTGTTCCCAAACTACCTAGGTACCAGGCATCTCGAACGGCCCAACCAATACCAAACTCTGCGCGCTACGCCAACAAACAACGCGCGCAATGACGTCGAACGCCCTCGTGATGTGTCAGGAAACGGCGCGAATAGCCAATTCCCCCAAGATCAGAAAGTCCATGCGTGCATCGGAATCGGAGCATGGGGAGAGGGGCGGGTTGGTGTGAAGGCCATGCATGCATATCCCCTCACCATCGGAGAAAACGCTTTACTTCGGCGCCCATGCCTGTTTAGGACGAGCCGGGAGGGCAGCGCAGAGGGCGCATACCTTACTAAAGTACGCCGTCCGACTTGTTCCGCTCCAGCCTCGTCTTCCCCCGGTTCTCCAGCCCGTGTTGTTGGGTAGGTGGGTGGAACCCGGGGTCCTCGCATGGCCTCGCATGGCTCTCGCATGGCGGGTTGGGGGCGCTTCGGGCAGAACCGGCGGCGCAGACATCACTGTTCAAGCATCCGGGAGAGAAGATGCTTAGCAGTTCTTATCGCTCCGACTGTGTTGTCGCTGATGTCGCATCTTGAGCGTTACTGTTGTCCCTCAGTTCCAACACAGACTGCGATATCGATAGCTGCGGCCAGGCATCAAACCAGCTCAGCATTGATCTCAAAGTCGGAGGTGGACCACATCGCTAAACCCACCACCAAAGCGCCAACATCGGACCACTCGACTCCCTCCGACATTCTAGAGCTCCGATCCAATACGCTACCGCAAGAACCAGTTAAAGCCATTAGCTAAACCAGTCTCCATCCGACGAATCCATATCAAGCATCGTGAACTGCATGTGCAGGCGGTGTACCTGGTCGAGAAGCTTCAGTGGAGTGTGCCTTGACTCGGGCACCTGGAAATCCCATACCATGGCCTTGGCTACCTAAACAAGAGCTTGCATAACACAATACTCGTGGTGTACATAGATCCACTCTGGGCTGGATCCCAAGAGTGATGTTTTGCTTTGCTCTCTTCTTTTTCGTGGTGATCTTGGTGGTTAAAACTCAACCCATCACAACTATCGCGTACTGTGACCTAGCACGGGATCAGTCCATTCGTATCTAGGGACGCAATTGTACTGGATTCTAGAGAGTAGGGCGTTCTGCCGTTACGACGCTACGAATCGCAGCATGTGTACGCAGCTGTACCT